TAAGTATTTGATATATTTTTCTCTTAAAAATTTCCTATAGTTTCATTTAGATTGTCTTAGTCTTTGATCCTTGTAATGTTTATTAATTAAATTTGCTGTTCCTCTAAGACTTTGCTACATTACTATTATATAAATTTGGTCGTAAGATTATATGTTGAAGCAAACCATTATATTGATGACCAAGGTGGTTAAGGAGTTGTCATGCCAACTGCCACTCTGGAGACCTGGATTTGGGTTGGGAACCTTGAATCTTTTGGGGTAATCTGTTGAACCCAGTTAATTTTTCGTTGATGGGAGGTCTCGGATGTCAGGTTCCATCCTTTGCCACCTGGCCACCTTTGACCAAACCCACAATGGGTATGATTAATAAGGGCCTCTTAGTGCCCACATGCAGAGTCTAAAATAATAATTTAACAAAGATAAGAAAACATTGTGTTTGGATAATATAAGCTTATAAAATTTATTAAATGTTGCTTAATATTTACTAATTTGTTATTTTAAGTTTATCAATAATTATAATCAGATAGGAACACATTTTTGCTGACATTATTATAAAAAAAGTTTGATTTAGCACTTTGAACTGCTATCCATAGGAAAAAATGCAATTTTATCGATTAAAAAATAATTTTTATTTTCTAATTACAGGCATACCTCGACTTACGTCGGTTTCGAGTTACGTCATTCCCGATTATACGTCGCTTGTTAAAAAAGTATATGGAAAAATAAAAATCAAGTTTAAGTCATTTTATTCGACTTTACGTCAGTCCGCCACAAATATTGAAGTCGTAATATCACTAGATAAACGTTTAAAGCACATAAAATCATATTAAAATATATACAAGTATGTACTGTATTTACAGTACACGCATTCGTAAATTTAGATTACTTTTTGTACTATATTAAAAACTAAAATTTATTTGTTTGTAAGCTTAAAATAGATTTTTATTAACCATATATTATTTAAAATGCTTTCCTAGTGATAAGTAGATTCGGAGACAGGTAAATTCGACTTACGTCGTTTTCCTGGAACCAATTACCGACGTAAGGCGAGGTATACCTGTATAGTGGTTCCTCATACTTAGAATTTAATTCATTCCAGGAGGCCATTTAAAGTCCAAATCAATTTTTACCATTAGAATTATTCTAAGTCAATCCATTCCTAGACCCTAAATGATATCCATTTTGATAAACCTAAAACAGCAAATACACATAATTTAAGGTAAAATAGCAGAATTAAATTAAAACATGGAAGTGATAAATAAAATATGTAAATACTGCATAATAAACTGAAAATTGCATTTACTGGTGGCACACTGTCGACTTCGACATCTTAAACATGGCAGCCAGACTCCCACACATGTACTGCTTTCATGCTTCACAATAAATTCGTTTTTTATCATATTCATTGTTATTTCAACTTTCCTCTTAGACTTAGTTGCTTCTGCACCCGTCATAGTAAATACATATTGGGTCAGACAGAACGTTTATGCATATTTTTTAACAGCTGTCCTTGCTTAACATAGATTTAATTATCATTTGGAAAATTTAAAACATTATTGCTAATGACAGATTGTATTCTTTGTTTAGAAGCTTATTTTAAACTTTTTACTAACATTTTGTTTGAATAAAATCGAGCTGTAATGTCTTCAGATAAAAAGTGTATCAGGCATATGCTTTGTGAATTTCAGAAAGGAAATAATGCCATACAAACAGTTAAAAATATTCATAATTTGTATAGGGAAGACACTCCGAAACTTCGAATGTGTCAAATGTGGTTTAAAAAGTTCAGTTTGGAAAATTTTGAACTAAAGGATACTAAAACATAGGGGGTGTCCAAAAGCTGTCAAGAAAGAAAAATTGCTGGAATTGTTAAAAATCGACAAATAGCATAACACAATACAAATAACCAAATACACCAAAAAAAGTGAAAATATTTTGAAAATCACTTTTTAATTATTAATCATAACACCACACAATTTTATTTATTTATTATCTATTATGAGATTTTGTTATAAAAAATGTTTATAATAAAATGATATAAAGCATAATTTTGAAATTAATAACAAGTTATATAAAAAATATGTAAATGCTAACAATAAATAAAATTTCATTAAGTCTGATCTCTCTAAAGATATAACACGATTCCTGTCTCCCAACCATTCGACTTTTAATCACCAAAACTTATCATCATCAATGTCCCTTATACACACGTTACCATGCCAAAGTTTATTTCTTAATTTCAATTAAAAAAGCAGATGATAACTTTTTCAGTAAACTTTTTAAAACCGTTTTACATAATTTTGCAGAGGCATACATAATCTTTAACCTTAATAAAAGGTCATCTCTGCAAAGGAAGACTGTTTTTGATCTTGATTAAAGGAAAACTTTGTTTCTTCTGTATTTTTATATCTGTTTCTTAATCTTTACTCCATCCTGAGATAGTAAAGTAGACACCAACATAGACACACAAAAAAGTGTAAATAAAAATTACTTTTTCAGGTTCAGAAAATCTCAAAATATGGAGACTTGCAAAAACCCAGAGGGTCAAATTTGACATGATTCAAATACTTTCCTTTGTTATGTATATATAACAGCTAGTAAAGTAAACCTAAGCGACAGACTCAAACCCATATTAAATATTAACATAAAAAAATACTTTTAATACTTAAAAAAAAAATTATCATTATTGCTGCCACTGGTAGATTTTGTTCTATTTAGTTGATATTAGTATTAATATCAACTAAATCTTAATATTTTGATTAAAATTTATGCCTTATCCTTAACGCAAAAAAAGTTATTTTGTGCACACTGTTTAATATACACTGATTCCCCCATGTTTGTGAATAATTAGGACCAACTAACACTTCATAAACATCAATTCTCAAATTTTGANGTTTATAGAAAAAAGTAAGTTTGAGAATTTCGAGACAGCAGTTTTAACGTTGATTATTAAAGAATAGCAAAGGACTTAATTTTGAGGGTAGAGATGAGTTTTATAAAGTTCTGAAAGTGATAAGAAGTAAAATCTTCATTAAGCCAAACTCCATGAGATGTGTGAAATATGACCACCTCTATCTTTCATCATCATCTAAATTTAACAGCATTAAATGCCTCTTATACACAAGCTACTGTGCTAAATTTCATTTCTTAATCTTTACCCCATCCTGAGATATTAAACAAAATAGATGCCAACACACATCCATGGAATTTTTTTTGACTTTTTTAGGTTCAGAGGGTCTCCAAATGTGGAGATTTGCAAAAAAAAAAAAAAAAAACTGAAGGTGAAATTTGATACAATTTCAATACTTTCCCTTGTTATGTATACCAAATAGCTGAGAAAGTAAATGGGCTGAATACATATGAGCATAATGTAAGAGTGAGAGACGACTGGGTGCACAACAGCTTGCATTTATGCTTTGAATGTGTTTTTTCAATGCGTGCAGGGTTTGAACTCTGAGGTGAATTTTTGTCAAGCGTTCGAAGTTAAGTACAAGGCACCACTGTATTAAAACACTTTACAAGAAAAGTATTAATAATTACAATTAAAAAATTGTTTATATATCATTCTTATATGTATGAAAATACAGAAAATAACAAATACCTTTCTGAAGAATTAAATTTGATCTAAATTTCTCATAAATTAAATTTTCTAAAAAATAGCAAAAATGAATTATGAAAAATGAAAAATACTTGAGATTTTTAATCTTTCATTATTGATCAAAGATTTTTGAAAAATTTATTTAAAATATAAAAATTGTATAATTCATAATATAGAAAATGATATAAAGTGTGGTAAGAACATTTGGAGATAAGTTTATTCTATTGAAATTTTTAATATTCAGGTAATGTGTGCACTTCTCTTCATATACGCAGAACCTGTCTTTCCTTGGAATTGTTTTCAATCTTTTAAATAACAAAGCTGAAAATTTTGAAATATTTTTTCTTCTTTTCAATGGTTGCCAAAAATGTTTTTCTTTATGGAAAGTATTACCATTTTTCCAACTAAGATCCTGAGAAAATTTTAAATCTTATTATACCAGAAGCAGGTACATCTTAAATGAAAAATTTCATTTTAAATACATACATCATTCCTTATCAGAGATTCTCTCTCAAAAAATTATCACAACTTATTGTGGCAAAATAATGATTGTGAAGTTTTATATAAATATGAATTTGTGTATGAAGTTGGCATATGAAAACACTTTGTGACCAGAGAATCAGCAGAAAAATCAGTCTTCAGGTAATCAAAAATAGTCTTGAGTTGGGGTTTCGCTGGCCTCTTGGCACCTGCTCAACTGGAATTTAAGAATGTGCTTTATGAAGTGCTTAATACAGCACCTAAAATAGGAATGACTCATATATAAAAAGTGAAATTATGTGTGGGTTTGATATTAAAACACTATTTTCCATATAAAAAGAATTCAAAGTTGCAATAGTTGTGTTGGCCCGGAGCAGTGGTTCTCAATCTTTCTGAGGTTGTGGAATACCATTTGTATACTTTTATTATGCATTAGCTTCAATATATTCAAAAATCGATAAGCAATTCCATGTTTACTAATCTCATGATACAACAGAACAATAAATTAATAAACTTTATTGTATTGAATAAAATATTAAAAATGGAATTGTCTACGAATAAGATAATAAAATATATTGTTGTACAATGGAATAAATTTGCAATAAAAACTTAAAATTTTTCTTTCCATGGAACACTTGTGAAACATCCATGTTTGGTGGCAAACAAGATAGCATTACTTATTATAGAGGCATATATTTCATTTTACATTAAACTCAATTTATGACAGTTGATTTTAGACATTGAAATAAAACAAAAAAAAAGTAAATCAAATCAGAAATTAAAACAACAAAACAATTTTATTTTCTATTATTTTTCATGAATGGTCTAACTATTTAAATAAATACAGTATACAAATAAATCTTACTATTAAACAATTTATTGATTCACCAATACGTCGGTGAAAAATTGTAAATATACATGAAATTCACACAAAATTTCTAAAATTATTCAGTATAATTCTAATTTTGTATTTATCAATAAATTGTTTTACAATAAAATCATCCGAATTAACAAAATGCTCATTTTTTCAGCATTCGATGCAAGCATAAACTTATTTATTTTTAGTTTCACTTCAGATAGATTTGAATTTCAAGCTTGCTAGAATATATCTAACTGCTGCTTAGAATTGATATGTTTTAATTAGCGTAGCATTAAAAAAAATATCATTATCAACAATGATATTGGGTTTAATAACTGCATCTTGGAAAATAGACTAAGTAGAAAATTTGTGACAATTTTTTTGGCAGTTTATTATTATTATTTTTTTTTTTGATGCAAATCATTTGTGCCTTGATTTGTTCAGAAATGTTAAGTAGTATTATAACAAGTCCAATCTACTCTAATGTTTCCAGCTTCTAACAGTAGCGAGCACTGCACATTAAATTTCTGATAAGTATAGTAATTCCTATATTATAATAACAACATACATTAGAGATATTTTTTGCATGTCTGTTTGAAAAATTTAGGTAATATTAATTTAGTATAATTTATAAACATTGAAATACGTTTGTAATATGAATAATTTTTTTCTTTTTTTTTATGCTAACAATATATTAAATTACAACAATTTTGAAAAAGAATAAAAAATAAAAAATGGATACATTAGAAAGTCGTAATCAAACTTACATTTAAATTAAGGGAAAATATTCTGTCTTCGTTAATTTCGAGCAAATTTACAAGAGAAATTTATTTCACTGCAGATTCGTTAGTTAACAATTTATTAAATAAGATTCTTCCAGATGTGCTAAGGAACCAAGCATACACTATACACAACTTCATCTAATATTACATCAGCTGTGATGCACGACGTCCTCTTGAGACCTAACCATTTCCGGATGGTTTAGGCAGGAAAACTGACTAACAATTTTAGGACCGGCTATTGTGTGTCTGCGTTGGAGAAGACTCTGCGCTTGCAATGTGTTTTTGGATTTTAAATCCGTAGACGGATTCCAGTCTGTTTGATGGTTCTGCTCCGAAGACTGATTGGAAGTAATCACTGTCGCTCTGATCACAGGTATGGTTGTTGTGCTAACTGTTTGTTTAGAGGGTGAAATGGTTGCTGTAATCACTACATTTTCATAATGTTGTTTACTGGCATTCCATTGATGGTTTAAATCTTCTTGGCAAGTGTTTAAATGGTTTGCTAAAGTGTTATACCCTGTTGGACAAACCATGGTCGTTGGTAGAGCCACGCTCTGCCGATCACAAGTAACACCAGTTTTTTCGTTTGACGAATTTGATTTTTTACACTCTGGCAATTTTTGCCCATTACTAGAGTCTGTGTTTTCCAATCTGTTAGGAAAGGAAGAGTCGTCTTCAGAAGACATTTCTTCACGTCCCGCTCTTTTTTGATCCGATTGGGAGCAATTATCGGATTCACTAAATAATTTACTGGAGGAAGTTTTATTTTTGCCATCTAATTGTAATCTTTTGTCTAAATTTATTCTGATTTTTTCTAAATCTTGAGCTAAATTAAAATACAGAGAGAAAATATTACCAATAAAATAACATTAATATAACTGTAATGGATTGACAGGATTTAACCACTTACTATAATTTTTATCTAGAAACTCTTCACAGTCTTCGTTTCCATTTAATATCGTGATGAAATTTGATGGATCATCAGCCAAGTGATCAAAGATATCATCTTGTTCCATTTCTATTTTTGCTTTTTGCCATTCTTTTTCAATTTGTTCCCATTCTACTTTATTGCTAGATAATGACTGTTTTGGCCACTGAGTGTCTCTCTGTAGCAGTGCCCTGGTTTCCATTTCAAAATTCCGTATCCTTTCTTGAGTAATAGCACTTAATTCATCATAACTATGGACTACTTCATCACTTAAATTTTCTTCTTTTCTTTCTGGAGAAATATGTTGTTCAAAGGAAGACAAAGGCCAGTCCCTACTTGCACGATGTTTAACATTGGAAGAATGTACATTATTTTTAGTACTGGTTGTAACCGGTTTATGTTTAAAACACAAAGCAGCATACGATAAGCTTGAACAACTATTATAACTACCGACGGACGATTCTTCGTTATCTGTTTCGTTATGTTTTACATCATTTTTTGTATCACCATTCATTTGTAATTGTTCTCGGAATTGTTTTTCAGTACTATCTTTAGTCTTTGGTTTTATTTGATTAATGGATGAACTTATTGGAGGCTCTTCAATGGATTCTGCTAAAAAATAAAAAAGAAATTTAGAAGTCACGTTTGATATAAAGTAAGGACAAGCAATACTTCAAAGTAATTAAGATTTTTTGTTTTCATACAAAAGAAGCTAAAGTCCACATCCTTTATTCAGAAATTACTTGGATTTTTATCAAAACTATCTGGACATTCATTGTGTTGCTAAATATGCTCTTTAAAGTGAGGGCTATGTTTCTCTGTCTTAATTTGTTGTATTACCGTGTTTCCCCAAAAATAAGACATCCGCAGAAAATAAGACCTAGCACAGATTTTGCTGAATTGCGAAATATAAGACCTACCCCTGAAAGTAAGACCTAGCGAAGTTTTTTTTAGTCGTAACGGTCATCGACAGATGGTTGAAAGTGGCCGTTGGCTTTTTGAAAGTACAGCCACTGATTGGTCAGCAGACAATTACGCCACACGGCATGATTTGCATAAGACTGTGGGTTGGGAATCACAGATTTGCATAACGTTACGGCTGGTGATGGCTAATTGGTCGGCCGGGAAT